AGACTTAAGGAAAGTTTAAGTAAGTGACCAACAAAATTAAGGATAGTTTAAGTAAGTGACCTACAGACTTAAGGATAGTTTAAGTAAGTGACCAACAGACCTAAGGATAGTTTAAGTAAGTGACCGACAGACTTAAGGATAGTTTAAGTAAGTGACCGGCAGACTTAAGGAAAGTTTAAGTGGTCAGTGAGTCTTTGACCGGACGAGCTTTGGCTCCTCTGTGACATGGCAGCTGAAATCACTGAACTGCTGTGGAGATCAAACAAGCCCTGTTCATTGTCCTGCATGCGCCTGCGCACAGGAAGAGATTGTGCTGTTGCTGTTTGTGTTGTGATTAATGTGTTTATTTTAATGTATAGAAGTTTTACTGAAGCTTGTTGGCTCCTGTTCCCGGTTTCTGTTTTCAGTGCAGTACATGTGCTGTATCATTGACTCCCCCCCCCTCCCCTCCAACATTACAGCCACCATCTGTGTTGGACATCATGTGGTCATACTGTTCAGACACTGAACATTTGATGGCTCTTGGTCTGTCACAGCCGATGTAGTTGGCCCTATAGGCAGCTGTGGCCAGCTGTGCACTTCTGCTCAGGCTAGCTTTAAAACAAATAGTGCAGAGTGTGAGAAGCACAGATTCACTAACACGACTGAAGCTGTAATCAGTGTGACCCGACTAAAACAAAAAAAAACCAGGAATTCATCTTTGCCAGTCAATTAAAGCCACAAAGTGTCTGAACAGTTTTTCCATTTAAGCTTATTCCAGTCCCAGACCTTCACAGAGATGTCTTTTCATTCCTCAACTGTTGTTTTTTCCAGCTGTGCAGTGCCAGGCCTGACACCATGAACACTGTAAGCTCACTGTAAGGCCTCTAAGTGTAGCTGTTCATTAAAAGTCATTTGGATGAATGTAAAATATAAGTAGGAATTGAATTTGGGGCCACTGTGACGGCTCTTCCTTCCCTTCAGAGTTTCCTGTCTTACATCAGAGTATGAGATAAGAAGTGGAACATTAGAGTTCCTAATGGCAGAGCCGGTTAAGGCTTGGCTTCGTTTGTGGCTGATAAGGGCGGCGGGGATAGACATTAAACTTCATTTGAGTGACATTTCATCACAGGCGCCTACTGTAGCTCTGCTCACAACGTATTCATTAAAGTGAACATAACATCTGCTGGTCTGTGATCAGTGTTGCTCAAATCAGATTTACTTCTCCGGGTGGCAGAGTCAGTGTTTATCTCTTCTGTAAACCTCTGTACGTTCTGGAGGCCTCGCCAGTAGGCCTTGTTGCTATGGGACTAGGGGGAAACTTCACCCCTCCTCTCTACCCTCTTTCCCCCTGTAATCCCCCCCTCCACACCCCTTCAAATTGCTTGAGTGTACGTGCCTGGCCCAGTAAACTTCCTGTCTACAGTACACACATATGCTGATATTAGTGGCATCAGTTTACTTCTTAGAATCGCCATGCCAGTGCAAATGTCCACTAGATTGTTATCTGTGCGCTACGTTGCTTACTGTGTGTCTGGGTGTTGGTTCACACAGGAAATATCCCCCTCTGTCTCTGTGGACAACACGGACAAGGGCAGGACCGACATGTGGGACAAGTGGAGGCCAAAGTTTGTCCCTGGGGACTGAGCAGTGGTCAACAAATCAACCACTCTGGAGTTCCTTATACTGTAACTGCTGCGTGTTGCTCTGCATAGCGACCATGTGAACGGTTCACTCATGCCTGTGGCTTAGAGGAGCTGCATGGACAGTGAATGATGCAATTGAGTGTAACCCGCCCCCTGTTGCCAGGTGGTTCTGTGTCTTTTTATGCTTTCCAGTCACTTTTTCCATTCAGGTGTTTATCCGAGGCAACCTGTTTCATTAGGGATGTTTTATAGTTTTATTTTTGGCAGATTTCTTGATCTGACAAAACCTCAGCGTGAATCACTCTCTGATTATGTAAGACCTGCTGACTCCTGAGGGAGTGCCACCTGTTCGGTGCTGCCTGTTCACATGCCAGAAGAGGCAGGTCAGCGCTCACTCCTGAATGGCCCAGGGATAATTAGCACCAAGTATTTCTAGATGAGCAAACTAACCTCACCCACTTTCATTCTAATATATTCTTTATGCCTTTGTCACATCATTCTCATCGTCTTCAGGTATTTGTGAGCCACTTTGAGTCGCACGCCCTCATACGTAGCTCTGTCGTGTACAGAAGTCATCTGAAGGTCAGGTCACATGAGCCAGAGGTCTGCTGTCCTCTGTGTGAACGTTAAACCAGCGATGGACTCTGGTTGGCAAAGGGCTCAAAGCTGTTAAGTCTTTCTCTGTTGTTTCTACTTGTTTTGCAGTGTGTGTTTGTTCTTACTGGAGGCCATACTTTTCTCTGTCAGAAACTGATTTAAATAACTGCTGTGGAGAGAAGAATTAAAGGACACAGCTGGTGGTTTTCTGTGTTTTGTTTGTTTTATTCCACAAATCTCATATAGAGACTAAAGCCAACTGAGTTCTGTGTACTCCCCATAATGTCTGACGTATCTGAAAACTATTAAAACACACCCGGTGAGCCACACATGAAGCCCAAAGAGGAGCTCCAAAGGCTAATCACTTTTTACATAATCAACTGTGCACACGTGTGATCTGATATTAACAAAGCAGAGAAGTAGAAGTCCGTGTGACAGAGTTGTCCCCAGATTCCACTAAAGCAGAGAAAGCATTTTAGTAGCGCTGAAACCAAGAGTCGTTCATGACTCCAGTCATTTGCCAAACACAAATGTCAAACATTATTTCCTGTTTTGCATCATTATAAACTCAGTATCTCTGGATTTTGGTTTGGCAGTTGTTGAAAACAGCGATTTGCAGACGTAACCACATTTTTCTTCAATATTTTTGTAGATTAAATGAAAAATTTCAACTCATGGTTTTAATAATTTTTTGAGCAAACATGCACAATGTTTCCTAGTTCCACTTTCTAGTTTCTGAGGATTAGTTGCTTTTTGTTGTCGTGTGTGAATTGAACTAGTGCATCTACATATCTTGACAAAACGTTTGATGACGTCTCATTGGCTTGACTTGTTGTAGACCAAACAATAAATGGATTCAGTCTAAGAAGACCTAGTAAATTACTGCTACTGAAAGCAGGCTTAACAGTTAAAAAGAAAAGACTGCGCTCGGCAGCTCGGAGACGTGACAGAGTGCCATAAGGTTTGCATCAGAGCTGTGTCCTCCGACTTCCTGCTCTCCCTCCATGAATGAACAGATTATAACTAAAGTGTTGAGTGTTAGAACAGACTCAACCTTTGTCTAGAGAATGGACTTCTATTTACAAAGACATAAATCCGCCATAAGTTCCAGCTATTGAGGGTCACTTAAGTCCTTTTTGACCTGCTACACCACACACATATTCTACATTTTTGCTGTGATGTGTTTATAAAGGAGGCTATAAACTGCCAGCACTTCATGGACCTTTTTCCCTTCACACAAAGACAAACTTTAACGGAGCTAATGTGACCCTCTCTAGAGCGAGGTGATGGATTCCTGCGCATACTTGACTCTATTAGTCATCCTTCCTTGCTCGTTTCATCCTCTCCCTCCTGGAGTTCTCCTGTCGCCGCTCTGTCTCTCTGTGAAGGGCCTGATCTGAAGTCGAAAAGGCTCAGCACACAGTTCTCTTTGTAGATTGACATTTAAATTCAGTGTCCTTGCTTATCCATCAATGACGTGCTCCGTGAGTCATGACGATGTGTACGTGCAACCCTTACGAGACCACCTCCACCTCATAGATTGTGTCACACTGCACCTGTTTCCAACTCTTGAACCTTTACAAACTTATTTGTTTGACTCATCAAACCAAAATGTCTGTTTTCATGTGGTTAACATCAGCGTCAGAGTCATTTCACCAGTTTGTGGTCGTCTCAGAAAGTGCCAGGAAATTCACTATAACTGTCGTCATCGCAGATTGTTTTTGTTTGTCACATTATACTGGATGTCATCTAACCTGCTAGTGGCACACTGTCACACTCGTCTGATCGGCCTATCTCCCAAGGAAACCCAGGAATTTAGTGTCGTGGAGCTGCAGCTTTCCTGAGTTATAAATACCCAGCCTAGCGGATATGTTGCGGGTCTGATCGGGTGCTGGGCTCGCTCCGAGGCCGGCTGCTGTGGGGGGAACCGTTTGGAGCTGAACCCTGCATGAAGCCTCTGTATTGTCTCAAGCTTCCTGTGCTCCCTGAGAGGAGGGGGCAGCTGCTTTTCACACGCTCCGACACATACCGTGTGTGTGCGCTTGTGTACTCCATTGTGTGCATGTGTGAGTGATCTGCAGTGTGTGTGTGTGTTTGTGTGTGTGTGCTGTTTTTGTGGTCGACAGTGTTGCCGCTTTCTTTGGCAACTTAAAGCAGTGACACTTCTCTTCATTTTCCATAACCCAGCTTTATAACAGCCCGGGTGAACTTTGGATTTATTTACTGTTTGTAAGACGTGTCAGACTCCTTTCTCTTGACCCAAGCTGGGTCCAACTTGTCTTCCTACAATGTCAGTGTAATCTATCACTGAAGGAAAGCCATGCGTGGTCAGCCCCGTCTCCAAGGAATGCCAGGACTTATCTGTAAAGCAGAGAGCGTTCACTGTCCTCCCAAGGTCAACATGCTGGGGTTTGACCTGTACAACAGACTCAGTGAGGTCCAAACCGTGTTAGTCACATCTCTGGAGAGAACATTTCTCTTTAACTGTTTCATTTAGGGCACAGTGTACTTGGTGCCACATCTTGGTTCAATTAGGAGTTGCTTAAAAAATAAACTCATCTTGGACATTAGATGTTTCTGTCCTGTTGCTTTAGGTCAGGCCCCATAAATAACGGATGCTCTGTGTATCCTCCAGTTTAGCCCCTGATCAGTGACCACATTCACCTGTGCCTCTCTCCCTTATCACCAGCTGCACCTGATTGGGCTTCTCGTTACTTATACCCGGTTCACTTCTCCTTCACTTGCCAGTTTGTTCTTGTCACTAAGCTTTTCTTTTCGTGCTGTCTCTAAGCCAGCTCCTGTTTTTCTCCTCAGACCCGTGGCTCCACTTTTCTCTCCCAGGCAGGTCAGTGCACGGTCACCAGTTTGTTCTGCCATTACCAATGCCTCTCGGTGTCCTTTCAGTAGCCACCATCACCCACCGACCAGCCCAGGAGTGACCCTTCTACGCAGCTCGGCCCAACTCCTCACCTCCTGCTGCTGGTCGACACCCGGCTACTCCTCATATTTAATTACCACGAACTATTTGTTTGTATACATCACAACAATGTACATAAATAAATCACAGCTTTTAACCGAGGGATGGCGTCATAACGTTCATTCAGCCTCTCTCTAACGGTGGCTGTGGTTCGGCCATCGCTGCTCTTCAGTTAAAGATCTCACTATGGTTGGAGTAAGACGTGTCGCTGACATTTGAGCTGCTGTAAACATTTCATATTTAAGTCATTTATAACACGCTGCAGATCGACAGCTGCAACCAAACATCTTTGCTCCGTGCAGCACCCTGACATGCGTCTGTCACCATGGTAACATATGATATGGACATTAATCAGTGTTAGTTTCACTTGGTTAACTTCAAAATGAACTAGTCAAGAGTTGTTAGGTTCACTGATTGAACTTTGGCTTTATAAGTGATTCATTATAGTGAGTAAAGTACACAAATGAATTAACTTCAGTCGGTATCATGACGAACCTGAAATGGAGGATCTTTAGATTTTACTGATCTAACATCCACTCAGGCATTTTAAGATATTTAGTCTAAACTTCTTGGGACCTCTCTTCCTTTGTAGTCATGTACCATAACTATCATAAGTGTCCCACAGTTTGGCTAACGGTAGAAGCTGGATATGAAGTACGATCCAGATACCGGAGTCTAATGAGGTACATCATGTCTTTCCTTATCACTTGGCTATGATTGAAATCATCTGTCCCATATGAAAGGCCTCGCGTTGCTTCTGTGTGTGAGAGTTCATCATATTTTCTGTTTCTGTGATTCCCTCGGGGTTATGGAGGGATCACCGCCCTGTAAATGGCCCATTGATAACCTAGGTCAACTGAAAGGATGTCCTGTCATTTAGCCACAAATGGGTTCTCAGTGTACAGGGCATGTGTGGAGTTTGTGCCAAGGCGGTTTGGAGGAACACTGTTGAGAAGAAGTGGACGGAAGCTACTGTTGTTGGATAAACACACGGTTCCTCATTATTTTATTGTCCCTTTAATTAGTGTAACTTGCTTTCAGACAAGCACAGCACTAAGCCAGCATACGCACAGATGGAAAGCAAGACAACAGGATGTTGTTTTGCTGCAGCCGAGCCCGCTCATTGTACACGGGATAGTGAAGTGGACTGAGCCTTTTCTGCCGGGGCTTGGAGAGTTTCCAGGGACTGTGGGTTTGCAGGGCTTTCTACACTGAGGTTACTGTCTTCCCCACTTGGTTGTAGAGGTAAAACTAAGCCGCACTGCGGCTGCCCATAGTGTTTATCTGTGCACTACATTTGGGCCTGTGTAGTGGAGCTGCATGCTGATGTCCTTGTTCAGTTTTTCTTGTGGGCAAGTTGGTTGTGCTCAACAAATACCACAAAGTGGGATCCCCTCCGGCTTAGTGAAGTGGTTGTTACAAGATAAATGCTGTGATTCTGACATTAGCACACGGAGAAATGTTTGTGCACTGTCACCCTGTTAAACCAGTCTTAACCCCTACATGAACTGTTTAATAATGATTATTTAGATCGTTTTTCTGAAGAAAAGCAAAACCTTTTGTGTGAGAATGTGAGGATTTGGTGCTTTTTCTCTCTCGTAAACAGAATATCTTTAGGTTTTAGACTGTTAGTGGCACAAAGCCAGAAATCCACAGATGTTTTTTTGTTACTATTTAAAAACCAAACAGTCACTTAACTGATAAATAAAACTATAGATTAACAGATATTGGAAATAGACAGTAGCGGACCTCCAGCTCGATCTTTGGCGTGCCAGGTGGAGTGTAACAGGTTTGCTCTGGAGGGCGGCTACACCTGGGAACGCTGTAAAACAACAGGCCCTGAAATGAACAAAGACTGGAAGTGATGTAACCTCTACTGTCTTGTCAAAGAGATACTTGAGTTTGAACTTTTGAGCGGCCATAGCGATTTACTGGCCACTCGCTGCTGGATAAATGTAGCTGTTTCTGCGACTTCTTCTTCTGCAGTGTAGACGTGTAGGATCACACTTAGCACTTCTTCTTCTGCAGTGTAGACGTGTAGGATCACACCTGGCACTGCTCATTTTTCACACCTTTTCTTTCAACTGCTTTCTTGTGAATATATGCTTGTTTTTGTCCTACAGTAGATTCTCACTTGGCCTTTTCACTTCGGTTTTCATGTCCCTCAACATGCATGTATGTAGCTCCCTCCCCTTTCCTTCTCTCTTCCGCCTCCCCCTTCCCCAGAATGTTTGGATAGATCTAAATGGTGTGATTGTGACTGCTCCGCCGGCCATCGGCCCCTCCACATCTGCCTCTCAGCGTCTTTGGAAAGTCTGACATGAGCAGAGGGAGAGGAAGACGGGAGAAGGCAGAGGGAGAGAGGGGAAAGTTCTTTTGAACAACAAGGCATGGCCGTCCTCCAGAGAGCCGAGTGTAGAGTCAGCAGTCGGTCTCAGCTCCAGCCTGTCCTCCTTTCTCTGCCTCAGACTATCTGCTCTCATTCTTTATCCTTCTCATTCTCCCACACCGTCTATTTAAACGGCCTATTCCCTGTAGAACGTCCCATCTTCAACGTGCTGTCTACAGTTTCTCATTTTGAATGGACCCTCCTCCTTCTTTTTGTCCCTCTCAGCCTGGCCCTGTCCCACCCTAACCTGTTCCTTTCTCTCCTGGTGTGGTGGAGGTGGGGGGGGTTGGGCACAGGAGGGACAAAACCTTCAAATCTAGGCCTTTCATTTACCCAGGAGGTGTCACGTTGCGTTTGAGGTGCTTCATGGCGGTGTCACATGTCGTGGCATTCAAAGAGCCAGGGTTTAAGAATGTGGGTCATTTGAAGTAGAGCCACTAAAGTGTGTTGTTTGCCAGTGAATGGGGCCTTCTCACATTGACATGGTGAAAAGCGTGTGAACAAACACCAGAGCCTCGGGGCTCCACTAAAGTGTTTGGCTGTATTCTTCTCACTACCCCACCTTAACAAGCCTGTTATTATCCAGCACATGAATGAATTTCTGGACTCACATTTGATACGGGCACCGTGCTGCTGTTGGCTTATCAGACCCTTTTCTGTTACACCCCGAGAAGAAGAAACCGAGTTGTTGTGTTCTAAACCTCTCCTATGAGAAAACCAGATCACGGACTAATTAAGTTTGGATGTCTGTAGCGCTGCATGTAGTTAGTGTGCAGCTCTGCACACTCAGGGATGTTTGCCTCTAGTTCTGACCAGCTCCGTGGCTCCCTTGGTTGCTTTCCCACAGCAGATGTTCAGGTCAGATGGTTCATATTAAGTCATAGATTACTCACATAAGGTATCCTGTGAAGCGAGACTCCCTTCTTTACTGTCTCTTATCCAATGACTTTGAGCGGGTGAGTCTTGATACTTTGGATACACCAAAATAATGTTGTGTTGTGTTTTCTCTCCCTGCCTTCCTCCCTCTTTCTCACCTTGACCTTCACGATTCAGGTGGTGGCAGCTCTCTTCATCGTGCTGGTTTGTCATGCAGACGAACTGCCAGCATCTCAGTGGTCCGGCGATGAATACAGGAATCACACGGTTCGACAACAGAGAGCCTGTGTTGAGAACGAACAGTACCTCCACCAGGGGCTCTGCTGCATCAATTGCCAGGCTGGTGAGGAGCATTACATTAGGCAGAATATGCACTAAACAACGGGCAATGGGGAGTTGGACACCGTGCATGTTACAAACTAATCTGCACACGACCCCATGACAAAATAGTTTAGTTTTCCTGAAACACTGATCTGTGTCTTCTAATGTGAAAAACTGAGCTAACATGTGGAATGACCTCGTGTGTCTAGTATCAAACCCATACCTCAGCTGTTTGGTACGGCTGTTTACTTTTTCAGCTCAGACATATTTAGCCAAGATGCAATCAGATTGAATTATTTCAGAAATCCTCCTTCATATTTTGTGATCTCAGGTTTTGTAGTTTTGTTTTCTCCTTTAAATCAAACTTCAGACTCTTGGGTCACCGTCCTCACTAATAAATGAACTAACTGATGGGGTTTCTATAAAACCCGTGGCCCTTTGAGTGAACATTTAAAACCTTGAAGGTTTTTGATGCGTCCCAGTTTCAGGAAGCATTTTTGAAAATGGCCCTGATTCTGTTTTCTTGCATTTTTTGCCAATTGGTCAGTTTTTACCACATATTTAAAAGCTAATGGTATGAAATATTAGAATTTACTTGCCTTTGTGAGTGTGTGCTTTTATTTAACCAGGCATAGACATTTATTTGCCTGCAGGCACATACTGTAGAGAATCAGTTTTACCTGGACCGAACCTGAGCTGCTGCCACTGCTGCTGTGTTTACTGTACAATCAGTGAGTTCATCCAGCAGTGTCTTTGCTATCTGCTGCATGCTTCCCCGTTCTCTGCTCTGCCCGTGTCTGGTAACGACTGAAAACACATGAGAAAACTGAGCCTGAAACTTCTGAGCTTGGTGCTCGACCAGCAGAGGAGGACAGATCCCTGCAGCTCACTCAGTCAGATCCAGACCGCCTCCTAGGCTCCATGAAATGTTGACTTTAACTTCCTAGAAACCTTCCATCTTGAACTGTGCACAAGTAAAAACTCAGAATCCCACAGCTCGTCCTTCTTTCAAATCAAACTGAAGCACAGAACAGTGTCTTCCTCTGCTGCGGAATGTCCTGCCCCAACATCCGGTTTGAGCAGGAAACTCATCACATTACTGACGCCGAGATTCACAAGACCTTAGCTTTTATACACACGTGCATATTGATCATGACTCATACTGATATGTATATATATTTGCTTTATTTGCAGGAACATTTGTGGATAAACCCTGTGAAAGAGACCAAGAACAAGGGACGTGTCGTCCCTGTGATCATGGAAAGACCTACACAGAGCACCCCAATGGGATGGACCGCTGTCTGCAGTGCACCCCCTGTCGCTCAGGTAACATTTGGATTGAGCCCCACATTACTTTAAAAAGAATCTATAGAACTACTGAGCTGTTTTCACAACTTGGTGCTATCTTTGCTTTTTCAACTTGTCAGCAAACGGTAAAAAAAAAATAAAGTTGTTCAAATAAAGTTAGTTTACTTCTTTAGAAAACCAGAAACTAGCACCAAAATTTAAATCCAACAACCAGTGAATCTCTGACTGAAAAAAAAATATAAAAATGTTACCGATTAATTATTTTTATTTATCAGTTGGTGAATTGAAGTGACCCAGTTATCAGAAAAACAAAAAGGCCATACTAGACATGTTTATTATAGGAGGAACACTCCTTTGTGAACCTGTGTACGCGTGTTATCTCAGGTTGCTCGGGTTGAACCAGATAATATCATGGCCAGGTCTGAATGCTGTACATGTGTCCCAGGTGGCTCAATAAAAAGAAATGACACCAAACAGAACCGTCCATTTGACAAAGCCGTCACATTTAAGGTTTCTTAAAAGTAGTCTTTGTGTAAACCAGTTTGCTGAAGATATATTGTTTATGAGCTAAACCTTTTTTGTCTGAGCCCCCGCCTTTCAGCTCCACTCATGAAAATGTGATCTTATGATGTTACCCAGGGTAGCAGGGCGTGTCTTTGTTGTTTTGTTTCGTGGGCTGAATGTGAGCGTGTTACCTGTCTCAGGAGATTTGCTTGTCTTACCTGGGTGACCTGGGTGTGGCTGCGGCTCATTGTCTCCCTCACTGGGTGTCTTTGTGTCCACTGAAAGGCTGGGGCTACAGAAAAAAGACTACTGTTACATAGGACGTGTTTTGTGTTCATTCATTGCGGTTTTAGGATGGAGCTTTGTGTGTTTCACTGCAGCTTTAACTTCTTTACAGTCAAGTAAAAATTAATAGGAGCACACCAATGGAAATGTTCTCACTATTGCACTTGAAGCGATGTGTTGTCTGTAATTATCAAGAGCTTCCTGGTGGAAAACGTCTTCTGTTGGATGAATCAGTCATGTGAAGTTTAAGCCCTGTGCTGTCGCTAAAACAGACCTTTATACTGAAGGATGTGGGATCTTGGTTTTTAATTCAGAACAGATTATTCATTTAAGGCTCCATTCAGACTGGGAGAACTGCCTAAAATAGACAGGAAGTACACAGGAAATGATGTTTGTGTAATGTTCCCTGTCCAGCCCCAGCATCCAGATTCATACAGAGCACCTGCCAGTTTAATGAAATAACATAACAAAGAAATGACAGTAGATTCCTCAGACACCTGCTGTTCGACTGGTAGCTGAGTACAGACGAATGTTTAAGGCTTTGGTGCTGTCTTCGGCGCTGACCTATAAGAACTAGAGCAGCACTACAACAGGCTCTAATGACAAACTTCACACAGATTTGTTTTAAAGAATGAGCCACCTTAGCACCGGACGAAGGGAGTGCTGCTTTAAGTGTGTGAAATGGCTCCACGGGCATTAAAATGAACACGCAACAACAAAACCTGAGCTGGAGTGAATGAACTAAATGGCAAACCACTGAGATAAAACAGAGGAGATTAGGTCAGCGAACAATGTCATCAGCGTGTTGAAAGTCCAACAGCGCTCATTTGGTTTAGTAATTACTGTGATTTGTCTTGTTTCAGTTTTTTCTGCAGGCAACATTTTCATAAATCACTAGTACCGTTGTGAGAAATGTGGCAAAATTCAAACCGTGAACATTTAACATTTGTTATGTGACACAGTTAATCAGTTGTTACTTTCACACACTGTGTGTTCTGCAGTCATCAGAGATGCTGGTGTGCCGAGCATTTAACAGGCGTGCAATCAGCGAAGTAGTCCCGCCGTGTTTTCACCACGTCAGAACAGCCCCCGGTGGAAGTCGTTTCATATCGGGAAGCTAATTAAGTTTTGATTCTTGTGTATAAAATTCTAACAACCAAACCTGTTGTCCCAGTCGCTTTGCATCTGGAGCAGTTGTTAACTGCTCCAGTAAACTCAGTGGTGGTCTCTGTGTGAGTAAAGGAGATGTAAAGGAGCGGCTTTTACTAAACAAATACACACCATAAGCTTGTCCTGAAAATATTAACACCTCGTTCTTGTGTGTACCTGCAAAGATCTGAACAATAAAACAAACTAGATGTGTCACAATTCTGAACAAAACATGACTCTGCTTAGTGACATCGTCTGCATATGTTGTTTATAGTCGTGCAGTCCAAGTTGTTCTCTTGAGCCCTCAGGTCGCTCCATATATAGTCGTGCTTGGTGCCAGAATAAGTTGCAGCTGTGGTATCTCCTGGCCAAATCAACCCAACTGCATTAGGGTCACTACACCGTTAGTCATAATCCTTGACAGGCAGACAGACTGACAGTCTTTCCATTTAACTTCAGCTCTTTCATCTCAACTAAACATCACCTTAAATGTGCAGACAGATAAGGAGAGAGTTTCCACCCATAAAACAATAAAACAAACCCCTTTTCTCAGTTCATCGTCACAGCACTGCTGACACACAATCAACACTTTCCTGAGGGAACAATGGGGGCAAAGGTTCACGAGCAGGTGACTAATTGTGGACTTTGGATCTTTGGCTACCTGTGGAAAAGTTGATGTAAAGGCCAGGACTTTGTCTTTTTATGTCTCTCAAATCAATAAATAAACCCTCAAGATTCCACAGCTTCATTATCCTGTTAATATGAGCCAAAATTGATCTAAGAGGAAGACAACATCTAGTTTGCTCATGGCCTACAGATGAGCTGAGAGGTCGACCAGGAATATACTCTTCTCTCTGTGGGGATGGTTATGTTTACGTTGCTGCTGTGGTCAACAACAGACCCTCTGCCTGAACATAATGCCATCTCTATGTGCTTCATTTATGTCATAAGATTTGTTCCAGATCACTTTATCATATGGTTCTATTTCTGTCTGTGTGTTTAATCTGGTAACATGCTGTTATTTGGTGAACATTTTCACAGTATGTTGGTTGGTCTCTTGTCAGTCGAGGCTTTTTTTTATTCCCCACAGATGAGACTGAAACTGCGCCCTGCACCACAACGACCGACGCTAGGTGCCAGTGCAAACAGGGGACTTTCTGTGTGCCAGATCAGGCCTGTGAGGTCTGCAAACGCTGTGCCAAGTAAGGGGGATTTACCTCTTTGCTGAGATATTTTGTTCTGACTCATAACATCATCGAGTCTTAAAGGGGATCTGCACTGATTTTACACATCGAAGTCTGTTAACCAGTCTTATAGAGCACTACTGCACCTGTCAGACAAGATGTATACAAGAATTTAGGTTTGAACATGAAAAAGAAAATTGCTGGATGCGGAGTTAGCGAGACATGACCAGACCCCTGTGCTTGAGGCTAGTGGCTCACGGCTACTAGCATAACCAGCTGAACTGGCGGTAGTCAAGTTGCTGAGGGTAACGAAGGCACCAGGCATGAATCAAAGGGGTGGCTCTGGTTCTGCATCGGTTTTGATCCTTTTTTACTGTCAGTAATGAGTCTGACCAGGTTATACTCTTATCAGCACCAGCCCTCACTAGCAGAAGGCCAGAATAAAAATCAGAAACCAGATTTAAATTCTTTATCTTGTGCTGTTTTGTGTGTTTTAATGTCACTGTAATCCAAAATTACAGGTGCAAACCAGGGGAGGAAGAGGTGAAGAAGTGCACCTCCATTTCTAACACTGTGTGTCAAAAGCGGGACCCGTCCCCCACTGGGCCATCTCCGGCCCTTCCCACGCCGACGCCGCCTTCTGCATCAGACATCTGTAAATTGACTTTACTGTTCGACATAAAGCCTGTTGCCTAAAACTGGAAATGTAGTTCTAACTAAAATTGGTTGGATGTCCTAACCGATTTTTATTTTCTTTCTCTCAGGGAATCCTATATACATCACCCTGGGTGCCATCATCATCATCATCATCATCATCCTTGCTGGACTGGCTGTGCGGTTCAAACGGCAGCTGTGTGAAAGACCATGTGAGCTGACATTGTGTAATTAGCATTTGCAGTGTTGTTTTGCTGATCGATGATGTATTCCTAATGATCTGTTTGGATTCCAACAGGTCTAAAGAGCCACTGTGACTCCAGTGAAATAGTGAAGATTCCTATTGTAAGTTGGTTTTGTTTTGTGTTTGACTTCTTTCTTGTTGTGTACCTTACTCTAAAAGCTCGTTCCTGTGTGCCAGCAGTCATAGTTAACATAGATATAATGTGGGGTATGTGTCATTTTATTACATCCTTCTCTTTTCCTCTGGTCAGGATGAGAGTGGAGCCACGGCAGAGGAGCGGCAGAACAATCAGAACGCAGGCCTGGAGGGAGAGGAGGTCCGCCCCGAGTCCCGGCCCCTGCTGCAGGAGACCCAGACTGAGATGACCAAGGCCTCCCCTGCCCGTGAAGACGAGGACCGAGGCCTAGGGGACAGTTTGCCCAACACCACTAACTCATCTCAGACTAGCCTGTCAGCCCTGCCCACAGCGGCTTCCTCTGGTAACACCCCCCACCAGAGCCCCGCTGCCTTCAGGCTGCCGCCTGCAGACGTGGTGAGGGGAGAAGATGAACAGCATTGGAAAGATCTCAAATGTTCAGATCATTTGATTTTTAAATTGAAATCACCTATAGAACCATCTCTTACATGTGTGTTTTCTCTTTTTATAGGATGATCCTCTGAGACATCGACTGGTGCCACTGCAAGGTGAGATTACTGCAGAGGGAGGGCGAGGTTTCCTCTCTGAGGGACGTTTGGTACTTCTGTCATGGATTCATTTCATCCATACATAGAAGAAGCACCATTTATTTTAGTTTATGATATATCTTGTCCAGGTTTTTAAGCTAAATGAGCGATTAAAGATAAAAACACTTTCTGTGTATCTCTGTTTTTCAAGGGTCAGAAAAATCCCTGAAGAAGAGCTTTGATTTGTTTGATGAGTACCTGGACGTGCGGATCCATAACAAGTTCTTCAGACTGATTGGAGTCAGTGACAACCACATTCGGATTGCAGAGAACGGCCCCACCGTTGACAAAGTGTATGAACTGCTGAAGAACTGGATGCAGAAGGAGGGACTAAAAGCAGACATCAACGACCTGTTAAAAGCTTTGCTAAGTCTGGACCAGCTGCGCTCGGCTGAGAGCATCGCCTCTGCAGCCCTGCAGAAGGGCTACTACAAGCACGCAGGCACTCCCTGAACGTAACAGGGTCTGCAAGTGAAGTAAATAAAACGTACTTAATGCAAGAAAACCTAAAAAGCACATCGACACCGTCGGTGGACTTGGTGTCTCATGAACAGGCTTTCCTCTTCGTGGCCGACTAGCCCTGTATTCAGAAGCCAGTAGTTTTAAAACCACAACAAGGGGAAGCTGGAGTATTGATCAGCGTTCTGAGGATGTTGACTGCAAATGCTCAGTTGTTAGCAAAGCATTTTGGTCAAATTCAACAACATTATCACCAAAGACGACCATGAAAATGTTTTCAAAATGCATGAAGGTGTCAGCTTTCACAGGCTGAAAGGGCTGCATGTTTTAGGCTGTAGTGAAGCAACGTGCAGCCAAATACTGAAAGCTTAGACGTCTCATGGCGTGTGTCACGCGTCTGGTCCTCTCCCCAGATCATCATACACTACCTGGAGACAGATATACACTGGTTTGTAGGAGTGGCATTAGCTGTGTCACTAATACTGTGCCTCCTTGATGCACTGGCCTCTGGCACATGTAGGGTTTAAAACTACAATTCTGATAGATTTGTTGTTTTGTAGAAACCATAAGCAACAGTCCGTGAGCGTTTTCCTGAGTAGTGATGGAGAAATATTGGCCTTTTGTTATGACCATGGTTAATGTGCAGCCCTACTAATCATAAGCGTCACATCTTCAATGGCGTTTGATCATCTAAATGTACTTAGGTATCATTTACAGTCGTCACATTGTTTTATGTTTTCAGTCTTTGTTCAGTGTTAATTCTCTCACACACACACGACACACGGAAGGAATTTCACAAGCTGTTTCTTTTGAAGCCGTTAATAGCTCAGTAAAATGTTTCCGTGACGTTTCTTTATAACTTGGAAAGCTTCAAAGGTCATTTTATTTATTGACATATTTATTGTAATGAATAATAATTATCTTATTATTTATAGCATCGCCAGAAGCAGCCCTGGGAAACAAGCACACACCCTCTTAGGGTTGTGACGATGTTTAGCTGCAGGGCAAATTGACTGACATCAGATCTAAGGTGTGGTTGAAACTCGTGGCTTTTTGTGAAATGCTGTTCGCGCCTGCTGCATCTTGTTCAGCGCCAACACTTCGATCCACACTGTCAATGTTACATTTGGTCACATGATTTTATTTAGACCACTTTCAGCACAGAGCTGAAGCTTTTTAGATACTGAGTGTAGAATGTGTCATGTAAAGTTGGAGCTGAGGCGACGTGGGTCTTAGCACCTGAGGACTGACCTGTTGAGTCCAGCTGATGTAGTGAGCCGACTGACCACGTGTCGGCGGTGACATGAGATGCAGGTACGGAGTGTTTTGTCTAGGTTAGACTCAGACAAGATGAAGGAAACCTTTTCTGGATTTTAAAAGGAGCACAAAGCTGTTTCCCTTTTCCCATGTACATAGAAATGAAGCCACGTGTAAATGCAGCTCTATTAATGAACCAAAATGATTGTAGTGAGGTATGAAGTTACTCAAGACAACAAACAGAGCAGTTTCTATTGATGTTGGGACATTTTCAACTAGACTTTGCCCATTTTCCTGCAGTGTCTGGTGTATAAAATAAAGAGTAACAGAGTTCTATTACTGCTCATAGTGATGCTACAGTGCTGGCACTGCCATCTAATGACACACGGTGAGAATACAGCCTGCATCTCTTTCTAGGGACCCTACTCTCTTTTTAACATGTTCATTTTAAATTCCTCATAGCTTTTCCAAAAGTAGCATAACAGTGAAGAGGCTTGTGTGCATGTTTTGTTTACTCTGTGCCAGTTCAAGAGTGTGTGTCCAGTTTTTTTAATGTAGTTTCTGTGTTGTTTTACTTTCCAAGTCCTGAACTGTCCAATTAACTGACTTGTGTAAAAACCTGTTCAGCATTACCACTCAGCCCCTTAGCCATGGATCTCAGATATAAATTATGCAAATACAAAGTTTCTATGTCAATTTCAAATAAATGTTTTGTACAGATATAAATCCTTTTAAATTACTGATGTTTTCATTGTTTATTTTATGCAACAAATAAATCACCTCTCAATGTTCCAGTGTTGTGCAAATCACAAATGAATGCAGTTGCTAATTTGGCCACTGCTCTTCCAGGAACGTCTCTCATTAAATCTACAGTATGTAACATGAGCATATAATAAAAAACAAACAAACTTAAACTTCACCACCTTCCAAAAGGTTTTATGTCCATTCACACAATATATTAACGTACAAAGTGGGAAAATAAAGCAGCAGATGAACAGCAGGGCACTGTGCACAAGGACTGCCATGATCCAAATCATTTTCATATAGGAAAATCATACGACGGTATCGGTTGTGAATGTTCCTCTGTAGTGGCTGAGCTGACTGGGCTCTACGTGCGCTCTAGTCCACGCTTGAACTAAAATTCATAATGCAGCCGTTAGAAATGTCTTGAACGCACAAGAGTCCATGGAATGAAAATGAAGACCTAAACAAAGTTCTAAAGGATACTGTGCACTATGTTCAGAGGTAGTTTGATGCAAACATTCCACAGTACAGCTGAAGTGAGACACTGGGTCTTAACATCTCCACATATGAACATTAGGATTCAAAATGTCAGTGTAGTCTTATAAACAATGCCTTTACTTGCACATAAAGAAACGTCAGAGGTTTTATGTGTTTCCCTGCTTGTTCACCCAGTTACTCCCCTGTCTGTGCGTCGCCTGCCGTACACTCTGTGGAGAGCTGATGGTTTTCTGACGTTGCTGACTCAGCTGCATTTCATTTGCTGCCCAGCTGATGAAGTTACTGTGCAGTTACCAGTCTGCAGCAGCATTGGTCATTGTTCTTAACTGTAATTCTCTATTTTTGCTTCTTTCACTTTTATTAGCGTGGTTTTCTTGCATTAATGAGCGTCTCTGTGCGCATCAGCTTCCTGATCATTTGAAGTCACTGACTTTGCTCCTCAGATGTAACTGAGAAGGTTTTTGTGAGTGTCTTGTCTTGCTCTCACTGTGGGAACACTATTCTCTGTTATCATGGCTCCTTTTTCGCCTTCTTTGTCTCTTATAATAAGGATGGAAATGATTTTGAACTCTTTTCAGTACACCATCAAAATAATACAAATGGCCAGACTGATCATCACTAAGAGAGCCGTCTGTGCCGTCTCTTACTGATGCATCCTCCACCTGCTCTCCTGTATCCTGAAATGCAGGCTTCCTAGAGGAAAACATCTTCCCTGTTCCTTCAAGTCTCTCCATGCAGTGTTTCCATCCGGCTGCTGTGCGTTGTATTAGACCTCTGCAGAGCGGCACAGCTGTGGTCTGAAGAGGAGAACGGTCATCAGTAGGGCCACCACTGACATGTGGCTAAGAACACAATTCATTTATATACTCCAGAAACCTATTGGACCAGGCCAAGAAACAGTTTGGCACACAGCTCCCTGAAAAACAGGGAAATGTTGTTTTGCCACTTTGGGTTTTGTACTAATTATATACAGGTTTTGTTACCTTTGGGCAGAGCCAGGTGTTTCCAGTCTTTATGCTAAGCTAAGTGGCTGCTAGCTGTGTCTTTAACAGAGAGAGTGACATAAATATTGTCTTCTAACTAACAAAACTAACTTAATATTCTCTTCTAACTCTCCACCAGGAAACAACTTCATAAACTGTTGCATTAATTCTTCTAGGATTGTCACAGAAGTCTGGTTCTGACACTTGACTTACTTTTTGAAGATTGTTTGTAGCTTGTTTTTGGATCCTCTCTAAGGGTTTTGAAAATGGAAATGAGGTCACTCCAGGATTATTATAGTCTTCTTTTCTTGCAGATTCTGGCTTGTTTGTTGTGGCTCCTCCTCCTTCAGTCCCTGTGCCTTCATCATGTTTGTCCTCTCTCATCCTGAGGCCTGAGAATGAAGTTCCAGTCCTAGATTCAGTATTGCTTGTTTGACTTGTTATAAATGTGGGCTTGGTGTCGGGCTCAGGCTCAGTGTCGGGCTCGGTGTCGGGCTCAGGACCAGGACTGATGGTGCTTGTCGGGGTCTCCTCTGTACTTGGCCGTCCATCAGATTTCACTGTGCTGTCTTGACTGAACACTGTCTCTTTTATTTCGTTGTTTACTGTTGTTGCCTCAGCTCTGTGCACTGGTTTTGTCGATTCTTCTGATGGCATGTTTTCTTCTTGTTTAGTGTGATCTCTGCTCATATTTTCATAAGGGTTATTATTAGTCTCTGCTGTTTCTTTGACCTGCTCCTCTGTAGCTGCTTCAGCTACACTTTCTGCTCGGTTTCTATTGATGTTCTCTGTTCTAACGGTTGCACACATTGCTAACGACAGTCTGCTTTCTGTCAGCCATTTGCATTTTGAGTTATTTGCTTCAGTCATAAGGTTTTCCTCTGTAACTTCAGTCATGGGTGGGAGTTCACCCAGCTCCTCTATATTCACTGTCATCCAGCCAGAGTCTGTGTCCAGAACAGGTTTTCTTTTTGATGCTGCTTCTGTTTGTGTCTCTGGAAGCAGCATCATGATTATGGCTCCTTCTCCCTCTTCAGTAAGTATTTGTTTGTCATCAACATCATTATCATCTGTTTTACATGTAACGTCTGCTCTTAATCTTTCCTGGTTTTCATTTTCAGTTGTACTTGTATGTGATGGTTCTGTTTCACGCACTCCCCCCGGGCATTGAAGCTCTGCTTGTTTTGTGATTATGTCCCCAGTGAAATCTTGTTTATTATCATCGTGAGCTGCCCTTAGTTTATACTGCCGTCTATTTGTGGATTCTTTCTTGTGTCTGGATACCAAAGAGAGCTGCGTCTTAACATAACGTCCATCATTATCCACTCTAGATGCAGCTTTTAAAGAAACTTGTTTCTGAAGAGTTTTTTTTAGAGATGATCTTTCATCCAAGTTCGAATGTTCATCTGTCTCCGTAAGCCTGTCGGCGTTTCTCTGTATCTCTAACTGAGATACTATATCTGAGGTTTTCACCGAGGAGCTGACAGAGTTCAGAGTGGCAGCTTGAAAAATGTCGTGTCGACTGACTAAAGCTTTTAGAAGCCTCTGTCCATTATTCTGACTGAGAACTTTATCGCCCATCACACGCTGTGTACTCTCTTTTTGTCTCATTTCAGCTTCTGCTATCTGTTCTTTAGATATTTTCTTGATGTTCATTGCTGGTATTATTTCACCTTCTTTGAAGCAGTGTGAAATAATCACAGTTACAGCTGCACAGTATCTCTTTGTCAGCATTTTCTCCCATTGAACAACGGAGCCTGGAGCCCGGCGCTTTAATTTCTCCAGTAAGAAAGGCTGCAAATTGTGGTTTGAAGCTGTGACGTGATGATTCACTGGCCACGCAGACCATGAATCAGGGCGATCTTTAATTATATCCATGGCAACGTGACCGGTTTCCCCAGCAGCTTTAGATGATGTGTCTCTGCCAACAACACACATCGGTGGTGGAGTATCTGACCTCAGGAATTCTGTAACACCTTGTCCCTGTTTATGATGAAGAGTAATGATCTGAAATGACAAGAGAGGAAGATAAACCTAGATATAAAGCCACTACATGGGCAAATGCACACAAAAAGAATCATTCATGTGAACATTTTTGGCAATGCTGACTGGCCGTTCCACCAGACTGAACTATTTCAACAAGGAAGGAACCTCCTGACTGTGGTGATCCCCTGACTTTTCATTTGCGTGGCCATAGGGTTGATATTTTTCATTTATAGCAGAATATTTCATCAGCTATAGGATGGACTGGCACAGACATATCTCAGTGACTTCGGTTAGGCCCTGACTTCTCCTGTAAAGATAAATAAAAAGACTGCAGTCTCTTGATTTCTAAAGCAAGCAGTGATCATTTTAACTTTGAATGGTTCTTCTTTAGTGCTTTAGTGTGTGTCTCTCTGCATGGTCAGCCTGTTTTCCCTACCATAAAGGCACATGGTTCTCTAAGCAGTGAATACACTGCACACACTGTCAACCATGCAGAACATCCATTGTTATCTGAGCAAATGGAAAGGAGATTAGTTTCCTAAAGGGATTCATTTACATTCCACAAATGTTGCGCTCTCTCAGTAACTCTGACATCTCTCTTTAATGCCAAGGAAATAATATTCTTTTTACTTGACAAGTTGAAGGTTTTTCTGCCTTAAATCTCAAATGATATGGACAAAGTTTCACAGTTTCTCCCGACGAGTTAAAAGCATTAGTTGGAAAGTGCTTGAACATGATTTTCTCTAAAACGGATGCAAAGTTACTCTGGTTGTTATTGTTCATGTAATGTCAGCTTTGTGCTTCTAGATAATGCAGTTTGGAAGATGCTTGCAAGGAGCAACCAGAGCAAATTGAATAAGGTAAAAATAAATGATGTGTTGACTGAAACTGAAACGAATGAGTGCATGTATGTAGATAAAAAACTCATGGACGATGTGGAACACAGTGGCAGTATTCTGATGATAATTCAGTAAAACATCAATAGGAACAGAGTCATTTTGATGATTAAGTACAATAACAACAGAGTCACATCAATACACATTGAAATGAAATAATCATACCAATTTTAGAAAATGGCTCCTATGGATTATTCCTGTCAAGTCCTGGACTGTGTAGGCCTGGAAAAAAGGGGCGGCCCTTTGTTGGTGCTGCACTGCAACATGCACACAGCTGCTCTGGATACGCATGTTGTAGTGCTCACTTTGGCCCAGAAGAATCCTCAGTCCTTTGGGAGGCATCTGTCCACTGAGGAGCAGATTTCTGCACAATCTCCAGCTGTAGAAATCCGTGAAACAGCTCCCATCTCCACGTGGACTCAGGGCAGAGACAAGCAGGGCCACCAGCAGCAGCCACGGCCTCATTGTGCTTTGAGTGAGTGCTGGAAGGCCACATAAACCCAACAGTAATGCTCTTATCTTTACTTTGTATATGCAAATTGTGCAGCAAAGACAGGCTCAACTGTAATTGCAGTACTTTCAGTCACATTCACAGTGGTAACCTTTATCTAAAAAAATGTAATAATGATCCTAATGACTTTTGTGGTGTCTCTATTTTAAAGGCATTTGCTTTTTTCTGTGTAATGTTCCGTTCAGTTGCCTTATGACAAATGATAAATGCTTAACTTAATGGTTCTTTTTGAAGCAGGTGCATACAATATATTACTCAGTACCTGCAGCTAGAAATATTTGCATATTATCAGATGTTGTCCATACAAGTGCTCAGGTCAGAGGAACAGCCACGGTCCACTGGTGTCACCTAGACCTCGTTGTAGCAGCAGGTAAGAATTCACTCTCTCTTTAATCCACAAAAAAAAACTGTTGTGTTAACTGATTTGTGTTAAATACAAATTGTATGAAGAGAAAATAAATGCTCATTTTCCTAAATGGTAAGACTTGGAATGTGTTTTGAAAGGCTCAAACAAAACTGAAAGAACAACCAATTATATAAACCTACATGAAATATTGCCGTAGGTGCACATATTTTAATCCAGGTGATATGGAACCACTGTTTCTGTTACAGCTTCCAGCATCACCAATCACACTGGTCCTACCAAACCTAACAAAATGGGAAATCTCAACTCCACATGCCAGATGAGCAACCACAGCAAAAGGAACGTCCGAGTATTTGTCACACCCAAAGCTCTGGAGTTTGATGCCTTTATCACCTCTGAGTCTGGAGGAGATGACGAGATCCTGTCAGTGATTCCCGGGGACAAGAAGTTCATCTTCAGGAAAGACATCAGCTGCGTTCGTGTGCTGGCCTCCCAGACTCAGGAGGTGCCCTGGGAAGCTCAGCACTTTGTGTCCATCTTTGTGGAGGATGAAGATGATGAAAACATTTGTTCCAAACAAATCATACACAACGTGGCGCTGAGTGCTCCGGTCACTGTGCTGCTCTATGATGTGTAGAATAACACCTTTGTCTTTCTCCACATACGGCCATTATGTCACTGGTACAAGCAACATCTGAATATTCAGTACCGTATCTCTCATGATGCCTCTAATAAACTTGCCACTCAGCCTCACAGTCCTCCTGCCTGTATGTTTGTCATTGCAGTGTAAACTGGGATTACACATTCATGTGGCGTCACTGTCTTCACACCACTACTTTGTGATCGTCTGCTTGAGTCCAGAACTCGGTTAGATCTTGACTCATACTGGTGGGCTGTGCTAAATTAGATGAAAATCTGATTTGAATGCTTATTAACAGTTACATTTCAGTACTTTTTAAATTCAGCAACATACTGTAGATACGGGGGTGTAGCAGCACAGTGTGTTAGTACCATTTTGACTTCCAGAAGTTGATTTAGGCTTTGATTAGTAATGTGACATAATTTCTCACAGACGCCTTAGCTGAAATGATTTTTGGCTGTAGCTGGCAGGATCTGGAGGTGATGTCGATTAGTGAAACTGAGTTTGTTTTAACTAGCCATCAGGATAAAAAGAAGAAACTATAGAGCATGATATGTTATACTACACAGTTTGAGAGGAACAAAATGATTCAATAATTTTGAAATATAAAGGGGAGCATTTGATTTGTGTGATATTTTATAAAGAAACTCTGGACACAAATGTTTTTTTATTTTATTCCAGTATTTAAGAAGAGCAAACTTGATAGAGAAAATGTAAGTAATTCTATTAAAGATTAGTTAAACTGTTATTGTTTTAACTGTATAATTATTAGATTCAGGAAAGAGCGGTCAGTCCTGTTCTACACTCCTAACCAGTTGGTGGCGGTAATGCACTATTTTGTTGCTTGCCAACCGCCATGAAAGATGACAATGAAGAAGAAATCAGTTTCCTGTAAGGTCAAAGTTCGCTCACTTAGCATTGTAGTTGATATCAACCTAACAAGACCATTTTCTGACAAAATGGATGTAAGCCAAGCGAAACAGGAACACCTACTTGCATTAAAAGGTATTCGATTGCCGTCAGTATTGTCAGCAGATAGATCGTGACTGTAGAGGCTGTGTGGAAGCAGACGCGTTAAATGTTTCTGTGCACCTTGCTGTTGTCGTTTGCTGTTGCTGCTAATAGCATTAGCCAAGACAGTATCATATATTTCCGTTTGCTAATGACCAGTCATGACTGTGTGAATGTGGAACTTAAAAGATAACTATTCGTGTCATTATTGGACCTTAAAGCTGAAGTTGACGCATTATATTCCAGTACACCAGCTAGCCAGTCAGCTAACTTTTGCTGTTGTGTTACTAGTGAGCTAATCTAGCTAAGAAACCTGGCTAACAGCTGCGTCTCTTTGGGTGAATTATACCTGAATAACTCGTAATCAGTTTTATCTTTGGTAAGCTGTAACATTATGTCTCTGTTGTTCTCTGAAAGTAAATTGGTATTTAATTATTTGCCAAGCAGCTAGTTAAGTTAGTCAATAAACATAAGCTTGTTTCTAATGACCAAGATGTTTAACATTAGGATTTATTTATAAGGTCTTGTACTGACCCCTAGTGCAGGAGCTAATCAGTGAAATGAGCTGTTGTATGCTCTTGTGCAGGGCAGTTGCTAAATAGGAACTATATTGCTAAGAGAAATGCACCAAGGAGATTACTGCCATGTACTACCACTCACTTATTTGTATGACTAGTCACTAACCAGTGCTACATTACTTTTCAGTGATGCGCTTAACAAAACCTACACTCTTCACAAACTTGCCAGTAACGTGTGAGGATCGAGATCTGCCAGGTGAGTCTGCTAAGTGAAGGTGCTTCAGTTTTTGAAGCATTCATATCACCCTTTTTATATCAGGGGAAGGAACACACAGTAAGTTTTGAGAGTGGACTGAAGTTGGCATTGCTTCCACTTTTCCCTCCTGTGACAGGGCTGCTTCTGCTCTTCTGAGTGTTCCTCTCCAAAGCTAAACTTTCAACCAATAGCTGAATTGTTATGTAGTTTCCATAGGATTGACCTAAATCAGCCACAGCAGACAAACTAAGGCAAGACACCCGTTTGTTAAAACATTTATCATGCTTTTAGTCTGTGATAGCAATACTGAGCTATATGAACCAAGATGAATCAATGGTGTAACTAACTGTAATAAGTCAGTGTTTAAAGTGAAGTTGCCTGTAATGTTTTTAAAATTCCTCATTTTATTTCTACACACGAAAATAGTGTATAATCTAGCAGCTGAAAGCTAAACAGATCAAATGCCATTAAATTAGTTTATGCCATATATATTTTGTGTATATTTGTCCAAGAATTTGTGTACATCTACATTATAGGTGCTCTGCTCTCAAATACAGATGTAAGACTGCTGAGAGTTTCTAGTGTTTGTTTCTCCTTCTGGGGGAATACAGCACTGAGGAATGTGTAACTTTACTCCCCATCAACCATAAGTGACTTTGGCACTTGTAGGTGGGATTTCTGTAAGATCAACATTCAGTAAGTTAAAGTGCACAAAGATGAATTATTTGAATTTGACGTTAGAAACATAAAGCCAGTCTTCTTTTTGCTCTCACCTTGCACTTTTAGCTACTGCACTGATGGAGTGGTCTTATTGTTAGAATAAAATAATAGTAGATGTATTAATAGGTAATGTAACGGTAGCATGAGAGTACAGATTCACTCCTGTCTTTGTTTCTCATTTAAATTCTGTAACCCTCACTGTGTGAAGCTCATTTGGGTACGTTTATGAACGGTAACATGAGACTAATTATTGCTGTGGAACTAGCAACTGAGTTGACATGGTCAAGTTATAGCCTGTACCCTCAAATGGTCGGGGGTCAGTGTGTCCCTAGTTGTAGGATATGTCTTGTCCCCTGTAGTATTGTGAATTCATCTGAATGTACAGAATATAGTTTTGGTAATAACACATGTATACAAACGGCTTGTTGGTTAAATGCCTGCAGTTTGAGATGCGTTTCTTCTTGGTCCAGACATAATTAGCTGTGTATTGTAAACATTGTTATGTTTGTCAGCCTCCAGCTCTTAGTGGAATGTGAGTCAAATTCACTAACACATGACACATGCTTAGTGTGTTTTTGCCTCTACAGGGGATTTGTTTGGTCAGCTTATGAGGGAGGACCCCTCCACCATCAAAGGAGCAGAGATGTTAATGCTTGGGGAGATGCTTACGTTACCACAGAACTTTGGGTAACAAACACCATTTGTTTTAGTGAGCTAAGCTTTTTTTTTCTTTGCACAAACTGTTGCTTTGATTTGTTATTTGACATTTGCACAGAAATATTTTCCTCGGAGAGACCTTCTCCAGTTACATAAGTGTGCACAATGACAGCAACCAGGTTGTGAAGGACATCCTTGTGAAGGTACTGTATAAAAACAAAAGCCAGTCCAACATGTGTTACACACTTGTCACTCCCGTTTCACACACACGATGGTCCTGTTAATTGATGTGATCCTTTGCAGGCTGATCTACAGACCAGCTCACAGAGGCTCAATCTCTCAGCGTCAAATTCCGCAGTAGTAGAACTCAAACCTGAATGTTGCATTGATGATGTTATCCACCATGAAGTCAAAGAAATTGGAACACACATGTGAGTGTCTGTAGAATTCTTTATTTTGTCCTTCCAATTTGATTTTTTGTTTATCTAAATGTTCCTTTTTCCAGCTTAGTTTGTGCAGTTAGCTACACCACTCAGTATGGGGAGAAGCTCTATTTTCGGAAGTTCTTCAAATTCCAGGTGGGTCATATCGGAGTTTTCTCATTGGATGACAGTGGTAAACTCATGAGTAAGAGTGGAGGAGACCTGAGAAATATCACAGGTCTACAGCAGAACAAATGCAGTTACCATCCATGCTGTGCATTTGGTGTATTGCTGTGAATTAACTGTAGCCCCATTCCCTTCCTTTTGGGAACAAGACCTGTATTATAGTCAGATTTCCATCTCTTCCAGTCCTTAGCTGAAGCTTTACGCTCTGATTAAACATTTTTGCACAGAAATATTTTTTCTCCTGAATGGAAGCACAGTGTGAGAAAGTTACAGCGTTCAGCTTACAGTCCATTTTCAATCAGGTTTTGAAGCCGCTGGATGTGAAGACAAAGTTCTACAATGCAGAGGTAAGTTAGTCGTTCTCAGATACTCCCATCAGCAGCATACAGAGTGTGTGCACGCTTTCATACCGCACCATTCTCCATATAGAAGAACTGTGTTGTATGACATGCAGGTTCCTACTGTAGAATACATACCATGCTCCATATCATGTTTCATTTCATAGTCAGGAACATTTCCAGATGCTAACAGAGGTGATTAGCATGAGGCAGACCTGGAAAACCCTTGTACTTCCACAGACATAACAGAAACATATATGAGTCTCTGTGTTTCAGTAGCTGCAGACCAAGGGTTTTCCTGGGTGGAGGCAATAAGCTCTTTCCTTTTTCCTTTTCATTTCCATAGCAGTAGTTTTTTTTTAATATTAGGTTGCAAATATTCATTATCATCTTTTTTGGCATGTAACTTCAGTTATTTATCATGTCTTGTATTTTATTTTCTCCATTAGAGTGACCTCAGTTCTGTGGTAATTGTTCCTTCTGTTCTCATCGCTGAGCATTAGCTTGTCTTAATACTGCTGGTGCAGCACACTTTGTCATTCTGGGGCCAATAGAAAGGTGCAAAGGAGAAAAATGGAAAGAGATGTCTGAATATTGTTACAGATAACCAGTTGTCACACTGCCAAGATGAATTCTAACCTGTTAGTCCTCAACATGAACTTTCCATTTTTTTGCCCTTTCTTTGGACACCCATGCTTTTCATCTCACACAAGGCTTGGACGTTTTAATCAAAGCTTCTGGTGGGTGGGGATTGCATTGATTATACAGTTTACCATCATTAGGGAACCTATCATTATGCACTGGGATTGTTCTTATGTTCTGTTTGACAAGATTTAACTGATTATGTAACGGTGCAAGTGTGAATGATGCCCGAAAGCTTTTAAATCTAACTTGTGTCTTGCTGGGCTGAAGGTTCAGGTTCAAGTCTTAGTGCCACTGATTACTAAACTTTATTGTGCCAGTAATTTACAACTGGGTGTTTGAGTTAATGAAACAAATGTATTTGATTACAATGTGAGATTTCACATATTGTTTGGCACAGCTTTGCATGAAACAGAGGTCAGTTCATATGTTATGAATTGCAGGCATGAACTAATCTCTGCTTCTCTTTCGCTGTGTTTCACTGTATAGTAGAGGTTGCACTGAACATGTGATGGTTGTAGATGCCACTGAGTGTTTCCCTCTCACAGAATCAACTAGTTGTCAGCATAAAAAACAAGCGTACCCCTCCTGTACAGACACAACGTCAAGCCCCCGTGTCAAGGTGCTTGATCTGATTTGTTAAACACTGTGAGAGATTTTGGACCAGTTCTCTTTCAGCCAAGGTTAAATATTACTTCACTATATCATAACTGCTTAAGTAAAAGTAGAGTTATACTTTTATAAGTGAATGTCATGCTTAAAAGTTTATCTAAGTAAAAATATTACCATCAAAATATAGTTCAGATCTGTTAGTCATTGGTATCAGTAAACCTATAAATGTAGGGACTGTAATAGCAGCTGTGTTTATGTCCGTGCAGCCTTTGCCAAACCACTTTGTTTAGCGGCAGTGTGTCTGAAGTGGAGCAGGTAGCTCCTCTTTAAGCCCCTTTTCATCTTTATAAATCTGATTTAATCTAAACAGCCCTGCAGATGACACGAAAGCTTTAAATAACCCGATAACTAGTTGATGTTTGAGAGACCACCTTGTCTGACTTGTCACTGTGCAACCCCTGCTGTATACTCTGCTCAGCACTTCTACTAACTGTGTCCTCAAAGGCTCACTGAGCAAACCAGACGTAGTGGAAATCAAGTTTATACAAATGATGTTTCTATGTTTAATGTCTTTCCTCCAAGTCTGGTTGATAAATGTTCTTCACTGTCTGTGACATCACCCGTCTTAAAGGATAGGTTCACGTTTTGTAGCTGACAGCTGTTTGTGTGCTGTCTCAACCAGAAATGACACAGGGCAAAACTACAGTCCTCTTTTTGTGCCCTGTGGCTTCAGAGGTGAATAAATCAAAAGGGTATTTGTACAGAATGTCCTTTTCTGCTTCCCTGGACAGTTTCCTTGTTGAGCTGCTGCAGAGGTCTAGTAAGTCAAAGAGCAAATTTGGTAATAAACAACACTAACTTGGGCAGCAGAACAGTGGTTAGCGCTGTCACCTCACAGCAAGAAGGTTCATGGTTTGAGCCCGGGTTGTTCTTCCTGTCCCGGGTGCTTCGGTTTCCTCCCCCAGTCCAAAGACATGCAGCTTAGGTTGATTGGCGACTCTAAATTGCCCATAGGAGTGAGTGTGAGTGATTGTTTATCGAAGTGTCAGCCCTGTGATAGACGGGCGATCTGTCCAGGGTTGGACCCCGCCTCTCACCCAAAGACAGCTGGGATTGGCTCCAGCAGCCCCCCCACAACCCTGTTCAGGAATAAGCGGTATAGGTAATGGATGGACAGACGACACTCGCGTTGGAGGGCGCCCACTTATTGGTCTAATTCAGACTTTTTGGGGTGTGGATTTTCTTTAATTGAAGGCGTTGTGGACAGGAGGAAGATGACAGCTTTTAAAATAAAATGACTTGGAAACGATGTGAACCTGTGCTTTAAGCCAGCAGCATTTTGCTCAAGCCTGACTCCTCTTAGTACCTAGTGATCAAGTTGAAGTGTTGCTCAGTGTGCCTGGGGGGTTATGTAGTTGTTCGTATGTGTGAGCAACAAATATTAGCGTTGGTCCTGGCTTCTCCACTTCAGACAGATGAAGTGTTCCTGGAGGCTCAGATCCAGAACATCACCACCTCGCCAATGTTCATGGAGAAGGTCTCTCTAGAGCCCTCCATGATGTACAACGTGACAGAGCTCAACACATGTGGAGATCAAAGGTAAGGCGCTCTACTTTACCTACATACAGTATCTCTTCTTCTTGATGTAATTAGAAAAGGGGGAATTTCGTCTCCACATATCCCTCTCAGAGAGTCCACATTTGGGAAAATGTCCTACCTGCAGCCCATGGACACACGGCAGTACTTGTACTGCTTGAAGCCAAAGCCAGAGTATGCAGAGAAAGCCGGCGTCATCAAGGGTGTGACTGTGATAGGCAAGCTCGACATCGTATGGAAGACAAATCTTGGGGAGAGGGGGAGGCTACAGACCAGTCAGCTACAGCGAATGGTATTAGAAAACTATTTTAATGTGTTCATTGGAAACATTGGTGGTCTTGTTTTTTTTTTTAAATCCTCTTATGTCCATTTTTTTGCTGTGGTTCTCTCCTTGTATGCCGTCCAGGCTCCGGGCTATGGAGATATCAGGCTATCTTTGGACGTGATTCCTGACACTGTCAACCTTGAAGAACCATTTGACATCATCTGTAAAATCACCAACTGCAGGTGAACCTCTCCAGTACAGTGGTTATGGTGCCACCTATAGCAGACAACCTTCAGCTCTGTGTCACCTATAATACAGGGTGGGTGAAAAGTAACTAGGCATTAAAAATTGGCTATAGAACCTTAGTATCACCTTAGAGTCATGATGAAAACAGTCTCTAAACAGACCATAGTAAATAGGATTTTATATGATATTAAAGAGATAAACTCAGATGAGAAGGCTGATATCAGTTTGTCTTCATCCATCAGATACACAATATGGTCAAAAGTATGTGGACACCTCAGTCCACACACACACACACACACACACACACACTTTGCATACTTTTGGTGTTTTTAATGACCTTTTCTTCATTTCATATGAAATCCTATTTACTGTTGTCTAGAGACTGTTTTCCTCATGACTCCAGTGATACTACAAGTTCAATAGCCAATTTGTAATGGTTTAATGGTTAATAGTTACTTTCCCACCCCCCCATTATAAATAGCTGAATTATATAAATGGGCTAATGGCACTAACAACCAGCTTTTCTGTGACCCTCCTGTTGTAGTGAAAGAACCATGGACCTGGTGCTGGAGATGTGTAACACCCGGTCGATCCACTGGTGCGGCGTATCAGGCCGACAGCTTGGGAAACTTAGCCCTGCTGCCTTCCTCTCCGTCCCCCTCACGCTCTTCTCCTCTGTCCAGGGTCTGCAGGTATGAGCCAGACTTTCAGCGAAGCTGCTGGTAATGTGCTGAAATCTCAAACCGCTTTACTTAGTAATTTCATATTCTTCACCTGTTTATTTTAGAGCATCTCTGGACTGAGACTCAAAGACACATTTCTGAAGAGGACATATGAATATGATGACATTGCACAAGTGTGTGTGATCTGCCCGTATACGAGCAACGAGAGCTAATCGTTTTATTCACCTTTTGCATTTTAGACATGAATGGACCAACTGTGGAATTCTGCATGTAATGCTGATATTTCACTCTTTTTGCAACCTGAGGGGATAATTTTGTATTTTAAAATGAGTTGTGAATATTATAAATCTATTTCTTTGAAAATAATTATGTAAATGTTAAATAACATAACTGTTAATAAATTCTCTGTAATCTTAGGTTGGCTATAGCTTTTAAAAACACATTTAATGGCATCCAAGGCTTTTGTTGTCATTAAAATACTCCAGAGATGGAGACGAGGGGATTTTATGCTTCTTTTTTATTGTAATATTTAGAGGTCATATTAGTCAGTTTAAAGGTGCTCGTTCCTTTCCTGAACTGTTCAGCTAATTCATTCGGAGGCCGGGTTACCCCTGTCCAGACTGACCTAGCCGATCTCACTTTATTGTCATTGCACAGGTACAGAGTTTTGCACAAGCACAATGAAGTTTAAAATTGCTACTCCTGTAGTATGACTTGTACTTTAATAAAAAAGAGCAATACAAATAGTCCTGTTATAATACTAATTATAATAACATACAACACTAAAACAGGTTAAAATAATAAAATAAATACAATTAAAACATTAATACACATTAAAAACCATACTGAGACTATACTGAAAGAGAAACAGTAAAATCAGGGCACGGAATAATTACCTAGATGATATTATTTAGTCCCAAACAGTCGTGATTCTGCACTTTGCGTCTCAGTCTGATTTAACTGACAGATTGGTTTTGGGATGGCTGTTCTTAAGTCTTCTAGTTTTTGTGCAGTCAGATCTGGAGCGCCTGCCCGATGGCAGGAGACGGACCAGCTGATGCTGGGGATGCGTGGGATCCTTAATTATAGCTCTCTGCAGGCTTCTCGACCGGTAGATGACATCTAATGACATAAGTTGTGTACACATTATCTTTTGGGCAGCTTGAATTACCATTTTCAAACAACTACATACCATGATAGGACACAACCTGTCAGGATACCCTCTGTAGTAGCTAATTAACAACTGTAGTGATATGGGAGGCCCTTTGAGAGATCTCAAAAAAGTCTTTGTTGTGCTTTAGCTGCCACTGATGTGGTAATAGTGGTCCAAGAGAGATCCTCTGTAAACTGTACCCCTAGGAATCTCTCTACTGGTTCTCCATTCACCAGGATTGGATCATGCTGTTTCCCTTGTGTCTTTCTAAAATCAATAATAAGCTCTCTTGTTTTAATTTAAAATCAAATTGGTGTCCAAACTCCAGTTTACCAGCCCCCTCACCTCACCTCTATATGCCACTTCATCATTATCAGTGGTCAGTCCAAATGAAGGAATTCCCACAATACAAAGCATGCTGTTGTCGTTGTTTTGCAGTAAATACATAAATATTTTATTAGTGGGGAACATTTGAACATATATTTACAGACAAGATACTCTGGAAAAGAATTTACAATCCCTTATTTGTGTGGTGGTGACAGTCAATCAAAAGGAACTTTGATCAAATGGATTTGGGTCAGTAACTGATCTGGGAGTTTTATTTTATTTCATCAAGTTTTGACGCACAAAACATAGTAAGTGGTGGCACGTGAGCTGCACCAGTCTGCACTGTGTGGCGTGTCGGAGACGGGGAAAGATGACAGCTCCTCTGGTCAGTGTGGTAAAAGGGGTCCAGCAGTTTGTGCTACTCTTCACTGAAGCTGGGTTGGTGATATCCGGACTTTTTAAGTGCCCACTGTGAATTAAACTCCAATTCCCATAATGCAGTGGTCTTTCTAACTTGACATCTTCTAGTAATGACACAAAGACAACTTCAAGACATTTATTCACATGTTCAGACAAAACATTGTGTTGCTTTATCTTACCTACTGTATGTTTCCATAAAGCATTTGATTTCAAATGCCAGATTTAAGAGCATGCAAAATGTACATACGTTGTGTCTAGTTAAAGAACAATAGGCTTAAACAGGGGATAATTATTTTTCTAAAGTGCAATAAGGATATAAGCAGGCTGCAAACACTGCTATACAATTACACAGTTGTTTTAGTCAAATGTTAAGTAGTACTCATTGAAAAGCAGTGATACGAGTCCTATATGTTCAAGGACCGACTGATCTGTTACTCTATAAACAAGCACAGCGTGTTCTTCTACAAAAATAATATTAAACAGGATGTAATAGGAACAAGGTAAACCTGATGTCCTACATTATCGTATGTGGAAAAAGCTGACATGTTCCCTGTAATGCTGTAAAAGTACATTCCCAACCCTCGCTTTAGTAGACGGAAGGATTCTGAACTCATAAAATGAAGAGAGCAGTATTTTCAGCACGATCTCTGCAGAATGTAGAAGCTCTGAAGAAAGAATTGACTCATGTTCTGTCAGTAGGCCGCCTGCGTTCTTGGCTATTTTAATAAGTTTGGCCTTAAATGTGTGGAGTGTTGCGTTTCATTGGTCCAGTCTCCAGGCCCCTCATCTCTCCCCTCCAGAGCCTGTAGTCACAGTAAAGTGCCTTCAACCCCATCTATGTCCCTTCATTCCAGCTATGCCAGGGATTTGACTTGAAGAAATGGGTGTGGAGATTGTAAACGCGCCATGTGGTTGCCCTTCCTTGGAAAAATATCAGTCTGAAATAAAAATAATGCAGGTTAAAGAAGCTGTAGAAACATATTCAGGTCAGTTTGAGTTTAGTCTTAAATGCAGAACTACCTGAGTAGCTCACGAGTGCTCCTCCGCGCTGCCGCTGAACGAGCGGCTCCGGATGTGGTTCCTTAGCTGTTCGATCAGCTCTGGGTTCTGCTGCTGGATCTGCTGGGCAAACTGCTGTCCCCTGACAGAGATAAGATACCTTAGTTTACCTGCTGAATCACTTTCTGCCAGAACAATAGTTCACACACTGCAAGATGAGAAATAGGTTTTAATATGCAGTGAAATAATGAGACGGAGCATGTGGTAAGATGTATCACAGATGGACGGATACAAACTGATCTGAAACTACAAAAACCTTCTCATGCTGAGATAAAACCTCAAAAGAGAAACTAATTCCCAGCAGGCGTCTGTCTGGAGGTCTGCGAATTGAAATGTCATCCGTTTAAAGGAAAATGACATGCACTGTTTCAGCCTGTTGTGCATCAGATTTCTCTCCATTTTATGATAAAGTGTCTGCAAAGTAGCGCCACAGTGTGCACGTACAATTCTGTAATATGATATTGTTTCAGAAACATTGCCATGGTTGAGAGTATAACCACTGCAACAGCAGGCAAACGTGTATAACTCATGTAACACTCTCTGTACTTACGCTTCAATCAAGCTGGAGATGTCTGACAGCCCCCCCACTCCTGCTGCGGGACCCCCGACTGCGTTAGTCATCATTCCTGACATACTGACCACACAGTGACAGTGAGTTAAAGTGCACTATGTTCAAAGTACATGTATGTTTTAACGCGCTGTACTTTCAAACAACCCTACATGCAGCCAGTTAACTTTGACACTCACAGCTGTTGCACTTGTTGGTTCTGCATCACGCTCGCAGCCTGTAAACAGAAGCGCAGCTGAAATCCATTGTCTCTCACAGTTGATTTATTTCTGAATACATTGGCAGTTTTGTGACAAACGATCGATGATCCAGTGATGTGGACCTGAGTGTACAAACACAGCTATGTGATTTGTCATTGTTGCTACAATAAAACTCTGGCACGCCTGTAGAAGCGTTCTAGGCCTGGCAGACATTCCCATGTGTCATCGTTTAACAAGTCAGGATTCTCCAGGCCCACACAAGCGCCTTTCAACCAGAACATAACTCTGGTTGGTTAACAGCTAACAGCCACTCGTGGGACTAATATGAGAAAACTGTGGTAAAAGCAAACCAAAATAAAACACGTGGCTCTGGGACTGAACACCTTCTGCTGTGTCTGTTACATAGCCTGACTCTTTATGTACAGTGCACTCTCACCATGCTGATGAAGGCAGGGTTGTTGATTAAACTAGCCATGTCAAATCCCAGCCCAGCAGCTATCTGTGGCACACAATCACAGACAGCAAAGGTCAACGCAGTCATGGCCAGGTAGTGCTTTAATTGGATATACACTGTGTTACATAACAAAATGCAGCCTAACAGGAAATGACAGTTTGCTTTTACTCACTGGACTGGTTGCTTCTTTTTGCTTCTGCTCTGCGATCTTCAGGTTGGACTTGTAAGTATCGTTCTCGGGGTCCAATACCAAAGCTTTCTTGAAATAGGAAATTGCGTCTGGATACTTGTTCATTGCTGTCAAAGCCAACCTGGAGCCACACAGGAGAGAGACAGACATCACTTTAGACAGACCTACAATCATCACTGAGCAGACTGACACTCTACATTTTATTTTAATAGCAAATCACAAACTCACCCCATCCGTCCATAAGCTTTGCTGTAGGAAGGATCAATCCCAATGGCTCTCTCACAGTCACCAGTTGCCTCTGTATAATTTCCCAGTTTACTGTGAGCTGCAGCCCTGCAGAGGTTTAAAGTTGGACCCCAGACTTAACTTAATCAGTGGCTTGTTTAATTGTATTCACTGGCTACTGTACAACACTCATCTCAGCTTGACTACCGTCTAATGTTGCATACAAATCTGTGAACCACAACCGAACGTTAGGGGCAAACAGTGACGGTGTGAAATCATGCTGGTTGTTGTAAATACCTATTGCAGTAGTACACAGCGTTTCTTAGGTCCAGATCAATGGCCTTTGTGTAGCACTCCACCGCACATCTGTAGTTCTCTTCCTTCATGTGATTGTTCCCTAGAAATAAAATATTACGTTATTGCCAGAGTTTACACATAGTTATTACTGGTTCCAACACCAAGCTAGAGATGTCAGTGAAGTAGTTTTGCCTGGTACATCAGAGAAGCCACAACCACAGACGTTTGGCTTGTTGCTTGGAAAATTACTGAGACAGTTTAATTTTCGGTCAGTGGACCAACTGATTAATGGACCAAGCATTCCAGCTTTAATATATCTAACAGCAGTATTAAGCGATATTCAGGCTAAATGCTGACACAGAACACATCTGAATAATAACAGTGTATGCTTTCATATGTTGGTCCACAAGGTGGATGAAGCTCTAAACTGTCTAATCACAGTGTCCACCAGGAAACATAACAGTGTTGTTTTACTTGACATTTTATCGAGGCAGCGTATCACCTTACAAATACGTTGATTAAAATACATGTGAGGCACATTTAGCTCGTAACTCCCTCTCCTCTGGCCCCTAGACACTCAAGAAGACATCAAACCATTATACAGCTAAATGGAACGCCACTCCAGTTTTAACGTTACCTTCATTCTTAAGTTGCTCTGCTCGCTCGGTGTCTTCTGGAGATGGGGAGGTCTCTGGTATGGTTAGGTTGTCATTCTACGTACATGCAAAGTTATTGATGTTATTTGTTTCAAAGTTAACTAGATGAACTGTGAAAGATGTTTTGACTTTAGTTGGACCGGTCAAAATGTCTGACTGAGAGCTAAACGGTGTCGACTGAAGATAACGCTACATATTTATTTTGCTTTAGAACTACATGTTACTGTATAACAAAGTTCATAACAACAATAGAAAATGAAAACGTACTTCTATTCCTTTGTGTGGCACAGTGCAGGTCCTGTGGATTGTGCGGTACCCACCTTGAGCAGAGCGTTAAGAAATATCTCTCTGAGAGGCTGTGGCACAGCGAGGTGGCAGTCACTGGAGCTGATCTTAAAGGTGGTCTCCAAACACTGTATGGCGACTGCAGTGGGGGATATGACAAGATAATGTTGATGAGATGCATCACATTGGTGAGATTTGAAGATAACAGCTAAACAAGTGGTGTTGGAGTTGACAGTATTATCATGGTGAGTCAGAGCTTGGCTGCACAGGGAGAAATTTAAACTGTCCTGTCCATCTTTCACAGTGGATGAATTACATGCTGCACATCATACCTTCTCCATGATAAAGCCTTCTCCACTTTATTCTCTCTACACTGTGACAGCGGATGAGCAACATATATTCAGTGTCCTGTGTTTATAGAGATGCTTACCACAGTCAAAGTGCACAGTGAGGGCACCTACCTTCGAGGCTTTCCTGCTCATCAGAATTTAAAGCACCGCAATGTGTTTGATCTCGTAGGAACTGCACAATAGAGAAAGCGAGGCGCTTCTCCACTGCCATATTTACCTGGAATCTGCTGGGCACAGGAAGTTGTTTGGAGTGAAACTGAGAGGCACCAACACACCAGTGTGGCTATATTATTATTTTACTGGGTAAGGGTGCAAAACATGCGTAAATGATACATGACTCATGATGATTTAATTCATGCATTAACACAGGATTTTACATACATTTTTTTATGAGCTGCTCACTATTAAGAAATGAGTCAAGTCACTGTGAGTTCATGTTGACACAGATCAGCCTCTACATGTTGTTGTATGACCCCTGACACAACATTGGTATCCAGTTGTCTACCCTTATTACAATGTAAAGTATTGAAACAGTCAGTGTTTCTTGTAATGAAATCTCTGGAGACATGGCTACAGAGCTTCAGTATTCCTCTATAGCATTAAAAATGTATGACTAAATAAGAAAAAATCAATGTTAAAATGAACATCCATAGATATTGTGCTTGAAGAGTGGGTGTTGGATCTGTTCTATCGTTGGCACAACACTCTGTATTAATGTTTGTCTCCCTCACTCATACTATGAACCTGATCTTTAAATTCAAGTTAGCATGGCTCACGTCTTAGTTAAGCATGCGTTTATCCTTATTTCAGTGTTATTCTCATCACCACATTCATTTGAATGCACACGGTTTCCTTGTTGCCTACCAAAGTATTGTAGTGTGCCGGGGGGGAAGGGGCGCCACCCAAGCTTCTGCCTTCCCCTGTGGACACAGACTGTGTTGTTCTAGAGTTACCGTTATGTGTGAGTTCTGTTATGGGGATGGGACCAGGTCAGTCGGGTGGTTTGTGAAGTTTGGTCACATTTCATTCATCCATGTGGCCTGTAGCTCTAACAAAGTCCTGGGTTATTATGCCGTTATTATCCAGGGCAGCACTACCAACAGGCCCCCAAGGCCCTAGTCTGATTGTTGCTGATTTAATATACTGAACCACTGACATACAATATGAACTGAAGCAAACCCTGCAGTTTCAGTTTCTCTTATGGTTCCTTCATGTGCAGCTTCCCTGAGCTCACATGGCTCACACCCCCCAAATCAAGTAGTGTTAAATCAAATGACTGCAAATGTGTTGTGCCCAGGGGTCCTCAGACAGGTTAATGCGGCCATGTTATTATCCATAATGTCAAACAACACACTGTCTATGTCAAACAACGTCTATAGTCTAGTGGAAATGGTCCTGGTGGCGCATTGGGCTCCTGTTTCCAAGACAACTCATTGGAGGAAAAAAGCAAAATGACAGAGAGGCTTTTGTCCTTTTCCATATCTGACCAAGGTAGTTTCATTGTGCACCCAATTTACTGGGACTTAGCTCTGCGGGGGAAATGATTTACATCTCCTGTTTCCATCACGCACTGATGCCATGCGTTGCTATGTTCATGTAGGTCTTGCACAGCTACTCCTCCCTCGGTGTGTGTTGACACACGTAAATGCAGCGATGCAGAAGCTGTGATGTAATACCACAATGGGACACGAGACGTGTTTTCATTCATGATACAGGCGTTATATTGTTTGTACAAACACGTTACACTAATTCTAATGCAACAAATGAGACTTGCAGTTGGCTGTTATTTCTAAAAGCCCGTCTTTACTAATCGTCGCCTTGTGTGATGCTGGCAAAACAATCCCAGTTCCCTCTTAAAGGGGCAGTAAAACGGCTCCAGGACAGGAAACACGGCTCACTCTCAAATCCCTGCAAATACTGTGAAGCCAACTGATAAATGACATTGTGCTAAAGGATGTTATTCAGTGTCCCCAACCCCTGCCCACCTACCTGAGCTCTTATCCAGCTGCCCGCTGCTACCGCGTCATGAGGATCGTGTCGGACTGATAGCATCCTCCTCGGCGCATGCGCGTTGGCAGCGGAAGTAAGAAGCAGAGAGCGAGGGAGAAGTCGCTGCTGCTGCTTCCTCGGCTGAAGCTGGACTACAGTGAGTTACTCTCCGCATTCAGGACAAGAAAGTGTTCTTTGGCACGGAAAAAAACCGCATGAACCCTCTGGCATGTGCGCGTTAAGGACTGTGGTCTGTCGGTGGTTTTGCAGGTACGTTTCTCTAGCTATAACTACACCTGGTTACTTATCACAACGACCCCCTAGTGTTACTGTACACATTCAGCAACTCTTACTTGGTCATTGCTGTTTGTTTCATTTACACACGCACCTGTTAATCGTAAACATTAGAATGACAGCTGACGTTTCCTGCTTTGCCACAGTGTAGTAAAGTAACTTAACGCATTAATGTTGTTGATAAATCTCAGCTGAGTGATGCTTGATGGTCAAATCCATAATAATACATCATCATTTAATTGTTGGTTATAGTTTGTATTAAGGATCTGCAAAGTAATTAGTGCATAAAGCTGTCAAATAATACAACATTTCCCTCTGAATCGTAGATTAGAAGTTTAAAGTAAGATGAAGTGGAAATTCTCAGTTACTTCAGTCCAACACATTTATTTTGAAAGGCTTCATGCCATGAAACTCTACACTGTGGAAATGGGAAAGGGAAGAAACGTGTTACCTTGAAGAATGTATGGCCTTTTATTAGATGCCACCTGTTGTGTTCAATCAGTCAGTTAAAATTGGGAGTCAAGCTGGATGGTCTGATTTTTTTTTTTTTTACACAGCTTCTCTCAGCATCGCCTGAGAATGACCATCCAGAACAGGTCTGTGGTACCAGGCAGAGACTGCTCTCAGGCAGGGAGCAGGAGGAACACCCTGAGGTGGGACCAGTCTCCAGATGACATCAGGACCATGACAGACAGTCTGATTAACAGAGTAAAGAAGGTCTATGATGACATTGGATCTGTCAACATAGAGCATGTCTCAGTTGAAAACACCCTGACAGCCATAGCCAATGCCAAACTGGATTATACATGTAAGTCTTTAAAATATTCTATGTTTTTCTGGTTGTCATCAAATCCCACGAAAAGACCAAAATCAACAATGAGTAAATCCTTCTAACAAGTATCCAAAGCCCGATATATCCTGTTGCTTGGTGCCACAGAGCTCCGTCGTCGTTCACATCCCAGCGATCCACACTGTAGCACCGGGTGCCATGTGCCTTCAGTATGATAATGAACAATTTGTTTTGAGTCAGCATTATTATCTTAGTGCTATGAGTGTTCACTAGTGCACCAAATATGTATTCATCCACAGCTGAAAGTAGTAAAACACGTTTTACTCCTGTGATGTTGCTTAAAAAAGACACTACAGCTGAAACTTACTGAGCCTTTTTCTTTTTTATAAATACAGTTATATAATTATGATCTGATTTTATGTCAGTGGTAGAAAAAGTGCTCAGATTAAGTAAGTAAAAATTAGAGATACCAAAAATACTCTGTTCCAGGTCGCTCATAAAAATCTTACTTGAGTGAAAGTACAAAAGTATTGGCATCAAAATATACTTGATGTACCAAAAGGAAAAGTACTCATTGTGCAGGATGGCACATTACACATGAATATATATTAAATGATTGTGTTATACATCACATTTAATGTTGCAGCTGGTAAAGGTGGAGCTATTTGTACCTACCTTATATTCTTATAATTTGAATTGCTGCTGGGTGGCTTGTAAATAACTTTATGATTATAGTGTATTCTGATTCTGAAAAGTAACTAAAGTAATCAAATAAATGCAGTCAAGTAAAAACTGCGATATTTGACTCTGAAATATAGTGAAGTCAAAGTAAGAAGCAGCAGAAAATAAAAATAAGTAAAGTACAGAACTTGAGTAAATGTGCTCAGTTACTTTCCACCATTGTTTTAGGTTTTCAGTGGGAGTGTCACACACAGGGTAGGGAAATCTAAAACAGTTGGCAAGAAGAAAATCAGCTACATTGTCCTTATTTCTTCTAAATTTATCAGTGCACAGTAAACATTCGCTGTGTCCTTTGTGTTTATTCTCTTCCCTTAGCATCACGCCATGTCCTCGAGTTCCCCCAGTATGTTTGTCCTTCCAGGGAGGTTCGGTCAGCGAGCACAGAGGCAGACAAAAAGCTGTCTGAGTTTGACGTGGAGATAAGTATGAGGGAAGATGTGTTCAAGCGAGTTACTGCCTTGCAGGTGTGCCTCATGTATATGAACATCACGTACAACACAAGGGAGGTGGAGGCTGATATAAGAACTGTGTTAATCAGGTCATATGGATTTGAAGCTAATAAAATCTAAAGTGTGAAGATCTGAAGTGCCATTGGACCCCAGCACTAGTTCTTATGTAGCCTGGAAAAGAATCTTAACCTGATCTCCTCAGCAGTAGCCAATGTGTTATTCCACTCAGACCTCGCTGGCTGACACATAACTATATGCAAATGTAAATAAATGTAGCAAATTTGCCTAAATTCTGCCTGCATCAGGAAGTGTCATTTCCTTTTGTGACAATCTTTTTTGACAGAAAAAGCTCCAAGACAACCTTTCACCTGAAGAGAAGAGATTCTTAGACAGACTCGTTACGTTAGGCAAGCGCAAAGGATTGCACCTGTCTAAAGATATACAAGAGGTAATACAAATATGTGATCTGATTACTGAAGCCACAGTCATTTAGTTTTTCCCATATAATTTGCAGGTGCAATTCAAGATTTTTATTCTAGACATTAGATAAATAGTGTTTCTGTTTTTCATAAATAAACAAGTATGTTTTACTCTGTGTTAATATAATTTAATTGTCTGCTGTTCATGTGTGTATTAAAGGACAGTGATTTTGTAAGTCATCTGAAGTTTGACTGTTGTGCTGCTTTATATATATATACATATTTGGATAACACATTCTGCTTGAAATTACATCCTGAAAGCCAAATGTAAGTTTCCTGACTTGACTTTCTTGCTGTGATTCTTTTCTCTCTCAAGGAAATAAAAAGAACTTCCAAGCTCATCAGTGAACTCTCCATAGAGTTTAACAAGAACCTGAATGAAGACAATACCTTTCTAGTTTTCTCTGCACATGAGTTGGGTGCGCTTATTAAGATACAGCTCACTCTGATGCTGTCTGGTGTAGTGACTAATGAATATCACTTACGCTGTTGTCCTCTTCTGTTAAGGCGGCCTAGCTGGTAGCTATCTCAATGGACTGGACAAGACAGCAGATGGGCGGTATAAAGTGACACTAGAATATCCCCATTACTACCCTCTGATGAAGAGGTGTCACAATCCTGAGACCAGGAGACAGATGGAAACAGCTTTTCACAGCAGGTGTAAAGAGGTAACTGGAGCCAGAATATAACTAGACCACCACAAATCCTGTTTGTTTGGCACAACAGTTGGTGCCTAGACACCTGTAGACCTGCTGTATCTACAGATCAAACTCTGCTTTTGTGCTATTTCTGATTCTTTTTTCAACAATAGCCATTTAGTGTACTTACGTATGTGATAATGTCTCTGAATAGTTTTAAATTACTTTTTTTTTTACAGGTAAACACAGCTATCCTTGAACAGTTGGTACAACTGAGGGCCAAAACTGCAGACTTGCTTGGTTACAGCAGCCATGCAAACTATGTGCTGGAGATTAACATGGCCAAGAATGCAAGCACTGTGTCCAAGTTCTTAGGTATGATGCCTCTGACACCTTACTCCTCCTGCACATGCACACACATACATACATTCTGTGTCATTTAAGAGCCAGTAATGGCTTTGCAGTACAAAAATAAACTTGATCAGACAGCTGATACTAGAAGAGAGAAATGTGACACCCATGCCTGCTGCATATAATGTAGTGTATGTTGTACTGCGCCTCTTGTATATTTTGTAACTTAGAATAATTTATGGCTAAAGAAGGCAGGCGGCACACATGGTCTTGCTGAATGTGTCCGGCCACGTTCTTGATGTCACAGTGTAAAACAGTGGGAACCATGATCTTGTGATTGGATTGGCTCATTTCTAACAGTAGCTGCATGGTCCAACATATCCAATGTGTTGTATATATTAATTAGCATAAGGGTAATCCTGTCCTTGACTTACATCCGAAAAAGAATCCGTACTTTAGAGTTTGGATACAGTACAAAATGAAACTGATGTAGATTAAAAGACAAAAAAATAGAAATTGTAGATTAAAATTTGAAGGAAAGCTACAGGACGTATCGAGCTGTGACACCATGAAGACTTTCCCCCCACTCTGCACATATTACAGATACATTTCATGAAACACTGAAGCCCATTGGAATCAAGGAGAGACAATATATTCTTGCACTAAAGAAAAGGGAATGTTTGATGAACGGCTACCAGTTTGATGGACAGATCAATGCCTGGGACCTGCCCTACTACATGAATCAAGTTGAGCAGTGCAAGTTTGCTGTGAACAAGGACAAACTAGTTGAGTATTTCCCACTGAACGCGGTGACGGAAGGACTCTTTGGTATTTACGAGGAGCTGCTGGGCCTCACATTCACCGAGGTGGAACTTGCTCATGTTTGGCATGAAAATGTCAAGCTTTATTCTGCCCACGACACTGAAACAGGGGAGGATATTGGCCAGTTCTACCTGGACTTGCATCCAAGGTACTGTAGAGCGTGTGTCACATTTTACAGAGACAAGAGATCCTGTTCATACCCTTCCTTGCATAAAATGTACAGTATATAAGATCGGTTTGTTCACCTTTATTTAAAAAAAAAAAAGATTTCCAGATTTTTTTTTGCTGTGTGACATTTGCCACCTTATTTTCCACCAGAGAACCTGCCCTACTACATGAATCAAGTTGAGCAGTGCAAGTTTGCTGTGAACAAGGACAAACTAGTTGAGTATTTCCCACTGAACGCGGTGACGGAAGGACTCTTTGGTATTTACGAGGAGCTGCTGGGCCTCACATTCACCGAGGTGGAACTTGCTCATGTTTGGCATGAAAATGTCAAGCTTTATTCTGCCCACGACACTGAAACAGGGGAGGATATTGGCCAGTTCTACCTGGACTTGCATCCAAGGTACTGTAGAGCGTGTGTCACATTTTACAGAGACAAGAGATCCTGTTCATACCCTTCCTTGCATAAAATGTACAGTATATAAGATCGGTTTGTTCACCTTTATTAAAAAAAAAAAAAGATTTCCAGATTTTTTTTTGCTGTGTGACATTTGCAACCTTATTTTCCACCAGAGAAGGGAAGTATGGGCATGCAGCCTGCTTTGGGCTCCAGCCTGGCTGCAGAGGACCTGATGGAGCACGCAGGCTTCCAGTGGCAGCTTTGGTGGCCAACTTTACCAAGCCCAGAATGGGCTGGCCCTCTCTGCTCCAGCACCATGAAGTGGAGACTTACTTCCATGAGTTTGGTCATGTCATGCACGAGCTCTGCTCTAAGGTTGGCCACTGCTTTATCATGTTCACAGGCATTATTGTATATTGGAACAAGAGAGTCTGAACATTCTTCTGCTACGTATTAGACCGCTTTTTCAGACTTCAGTGGAACTCAGGTGGAGACAGACTTTGTGGAGGTGCCCTCGCAGATGCTTGAGAACTGGGTTTGGGAGAAGGAGCCTCTGAGGAGAATGTCTCGCCACTACAAGGATGGCAGCCCAATACCGGACGACCTGCTCGACAAACTGATTGTCTCCAGAGTAGCCAACACTGGTCAGACACTTGAATACTCACCAAAAAAAAAAAGAAGCTCTTTAATACTTTGCAGAAATCAAGAGCTTCTGTTGATGTGCTGACTCGTTTACCCCTTTAGGTCTGATGAACCTGCGTCAGGTCGTCCTCAGTAAAGTGGACCAGTCACTACACACTAGCCCTCGTGTAGATACAGCTGAGGTGTTTGCAAAGCACTGTCAGGACATCCTTGGTGTTCCCGCTACACCAGGTCAGTTGTAACATTGATGGCAAGGTGAATACTGGCTACAGAAGCACATGCATGGTGATTCCTGTCATTACTGAGGATTGAGGGTATTTATTTGCCCCTTGTGAGGATCATAAATACCTAGATTATTCAGTTTGAAGTACAGTACAACTTTTGAACTGGTGTTATTGGTTTGTAACAAAGAGCTTTCTGAAAGGACCCTTGTGATGACAGACATCTGCTCTGTGCAGGCACCAATATGACAGCCAGTTTCAGCCACTTGGCGGGAGGGTATGATGGTCAGTACTACAGCTATCTGTGGAGTGAAATCTACTCCATGGACATTTTCTTTAATCGTTTTAAGAAGGAAGGCATTATGAACCCCAAGGTTAGTGTGACAGATGATGCTGTAGTTATTGGTTTTATATATGTGAAAAGTGTCCTAATTAGTGCACGTG